CCAAGCGACGAAAACCCAACCCCGATGGCAAACACCGGGGGGGGCGGTAAGCCTATTTTTCTTTGCACGTGAAACACAGTTTTGGCCTATCGCGTACCCGGCACCAGTGGTTACTCGAACTTTTTCTGGGGGACGGACGGGGGTTCGCACGCGGGCAATCCGTTTTTCGGGATCATATTCCGGGCTCTGTTCGGGTTTTCGGAAATAAGCCCGTTGTGATTTGGAATTTATACAGAGGAAAGTAAGAAAACGGTCTATGATGCGAAAACATAGTGGACGCCACCATCTGGTGTGTTTTCGGTCTGACCAAAGCCTTAACAGGCTCACATGTCTATGTGGCCGTGTGTTTGTTATCCCATCACATACCAGGCCCTACCTCTCGGACCCATTGTAGACAGATCTAGGCTTCCACTTTCTGCGCCGTCGCTACACTCCCACGAGCGCGAAGTATGTACTACGTTGACACTTGGTACCGGCTTCAACGAACAGGACACAACTGTGAACACAAAATTCTGTAAGAGCGATGTAGACATGTGTGGAATGCAGTAGCCAGGCCCCCGTCATCACTATAATAGCAGATTCGTCTTCATCCTATGACGCTCGCCGTTTCCTCTCTGTCCCCGTCAACATAATCCAAAACACAATCTCACGCGTCTTGCTTGCCGACGTCGCCGCCACTTCCCGCAACATCACCGTCATCCTTGTCGCCCATCGTAGCCGTCAAGAGCGTGTCCAAGTCCTTCCACTCCACCACGCAAGGCATGCCCTGCAAGGCCCTAACGTGGGCCTCCACCGCCGCCTCTGGGGGAGCCGTCGGCACCACGCCCTCCACGCACCCGCAGAGCTCAAAATCGCTGTCCAGCACCGCCGCGCCGCACATTCCCGGATTGAGAGTCGCGTGCTCCGTCCCCACAAAGGCCTGCATCGCCGTCCGCGCCGCCAAATCCCCCTTGGCCCGAACCATCATCATCCCGGGATCCTCCCCTTGCCCAAGTCCCCCCGGCTGTTCCCGAACCTCGTACCCAACGATGCGGAGAGATTCCGATGGCTCGATCAAGCGTCGGCGCAGGGGTAGCGGGGAGAAAGGGATGCCCTTGGATCCGACATCTCGGAGGAATCGGCTTTCCCCGTCTCCGTCATCGCCGCCTTTGAGGCCGAGCGCGGCCATGTCTCGGGACGGGTGTCTGGCCAGGCTGATGAGCTCGTGTTGGGCTAGAACAGCCCCCGTGAAGGGCTATTTTGGCAGGGGGGGGCGCCACGGCGGTGGCGGTATTGGTGATGATGGAACGTTAAACAGGGCGGAGTGTTAGGCGCAGTCGTCTCGTGCGGCACGGCCAAGGAGGGGAAGGTGAAAAAAGATGACGAGACGGAAGAGAGCGCAGAGTCGTGGCCCTACGAATGAAGGCGAGTGCATCCTCTCCACAAATACCGTGCAACGAGTCAAACGAAACGCGTGGGTTGTTCGTTCATTCTACGCGCGGACATGCGTGCCTCGCACGGTACTATTGTTAAGCCTCCGCGAACATACTCATCTTGAGCGTGCGTGAGCATTGCTCGCGAAACGAGATGTTTGCGATAATGCACCCAGACTTGGTGCAAGCTTACAGACAGAAAACTGCCTGCACATACCTTGCGCCGCGCCTCTGTAATCTGCTGCGATGTCGCGGAACTCTCCTCTTCATTCAAGCCCAGCTCCTTTTTACACACATGCAAAAAAAAAAGGTTTTGAATTTTCCTACAAACTGCATTTCAACAACAACACAACTTACATCTCTGAGCTCCGCGTAGTACCGAACGTTAGTCTCATCGATAAACTTGAGCCAAGCATGGGACTCATCGTGGTACCCAGGGAAGGCCCATGGCACTACCGCATGGGCCGCGGCGAGGAAGCGTAGTGGCGAGGAGGTTGTTTGCCTCACCGGAGTGGCGCTGCACCTGTTGCCATTTGAAAGGACACCAAAATATACTTCGCTTTAGTCGCACAGCAGTAGAGGCCAAGCTTGCGGTTGATGCATAGAAGCTGGACGGAAATAATCACACCGCACATGTCCATGTAGCCCATCGACGCACGCTGTTGTGCCTTGTGCTTGTCGACGCGCGAGGGACCGAAGCCCCCTGACGGCCTTCTTCGACAAAGGCGAACCATTACACAGACTATTTGTAGAGTCAACGGCTGACCCTGCAAGTACCGTAAACGTCGGAGTTTTCCCCCTGTGGAAGGGATGCGCTATTTTTTCTGGAACCGAACCTCCCGGAGGGACAATGACGTACCGTTTTTTTATTGTTTCAACGCTACCCCGGGGGAATGATCCCCCTCCCGGGGGGGGGGGGGGGGGG